GGGGGAGGAGGAGAGGTGGGAATATGAAGGATACGATAAGCAAGGGTTTGTGAGCCTTACCTTGTCCCCTCCTACACGTCCCACTTATCAAAAGACGACCAAGCTTTTTAGCAATATTTGGATAATTCTAACAGCAGTTTTACCGTAGGAAGTTGTGTGAACCAACTCTAAAAGTTCCATATTCAAAAGAAATAAGTTATTCCAAATCCAATCCAAGAAGTGAGTGAAGAAGTCTTATAATTCTTTCAAGACTAAATCCACTTCTACCATCCGATAAATACTGCCCAGCATATGTTGTAGTATAACATCTCATAGCATGGTGGAATAACCCTTGGGCTTTAAAGCACCCGTTTTATAAAAATTGTTCTTCTCTCTTTATGATTAACAATTGTCATGAAGAGAGAAGAATATTTCTTGACAACTTTACAGAAAGAATGTCTTGTGTGTCCGGCCAACACACATATTGTGTTCAGATGTTTGGGATGACAAATATTTTGTTTATACTTTGAGGTGTTGGACACCAAACAAGAGCTGTTGTTATTTGATAACAAGCGTCAACAACCACTTGTTGATTTACTCATTGACAATTGTCAGTTGACATAATACTTCATAATTAGCCAATCAGACGTCTTCTAACGTCAGTAGGTACGAGTGATTGTATTTCATATTCAATTAATCCAAGGCAACCATCAGATTTTGGGGATAGAAACGTTGGAGTCGAAGGAAAAAGAAAGGTACTGGTGAGTACGATCCATTCCCTTATCTACATTAGATTTTTAGCTGTTCATCGAAATAGGTAGAACATTGTTTACACGAGCTGTTTTTTTCCGTTTGATTTATACAAAACTGGATTAGCAATCTCTATAGCTGAAAGAGGTCAGTTTAAAGGAGGAAATAAAATGATGTGGGGTCTTAAATTCCCTCTTTCTCCTCCTTGAACAAAAAATAATGTCTTTTCTCTCTGACGCGAATCAAAAATCGTTTAATCCGGTATAGCACGGCTTTCGTCAGACATAAATTTTGCTAGGGATTCTTAACCACATTGTACGGTTTTCTTCATTCAAAATATTCTTAGCATGTTAAGTCTAGGAAACATCAGTATTTGATATGATCAGAACCGGTATGTTTAGTTCTCTCACTCCTTTTTTTTAACTCGTCAATGCCATAATTCTAGAATACATATGGCCACGTTTAATTTTGATAATGAAGTCCTCATTTCATGTACCAACTCACGCCTTGCTAAACAGAAGTACTTTCCATCTTCAATAAAAAGAAAATTGTGAACCTGTCAGCATTTATTCCTCCGAAGTACTGTTTTGACAACATAGCGGGCTAAAAACCTGTGAGGTACGAGTCTTTCGTAATCTCTCGACCAAGGGCTAACGCTCGACACGTCCGCTTTGGAGGTTCTTTACTGTAGCAAATTTATATTATCAACTCAGTTGATAAAACCATATCGACCTTTTGACACTCTACGTCCGTCTATTTGGTAGGTTAAGCGATAACAGCTTGTGGAGAGTAAGATTTAATGCTCTCGTCTGGAATTTGCAACGAAGAAAAAATGTAGGTCTTCAGTGGGGACTCAAGCCACAGAACTTCCGCATTTTCAGGCTGATACATCTTACCTACACAGAACTTTTCGATGAAAACTCGATCTCGAGATCGAAGATTTGTTATTCGAATTCCTTGTAGGTAATCCAAACTTTTTCCTTCCACACCAAGCCATGAAATTGTGTAGGATTCTTTTTCACTACTTTTTAATGTATTTTAAAGTCTCAAAAATAACTGAATCGTTCAACAAAAATTAGCACGCTTGGCAATCTTTTTCTTTCCTTTAATCCAAGCGGCGAAACGTGAGACGCATACGGACATGGGGCGAAAGCAATGACAAAAAGTGAGTACGGGGGGAGGGGATAATTGTATTTGTTTGACTCCCGCCTGGCTGAAAGAAAATAGAAAAAAAAAAACGCTACGGAGGTCAAAGAAAAAGGAACCATGCAGACTATGGTACAGCTATTGTACCCCAGCATTTTACAATTTTTAATTCCGTTTATTTACCGTGCTGATAGACATGATGACCTCAGCGGTAATTGGTTGCCTCGTGGCCGTTGCCTGCTTTGCTGCAGTGGATTCCAGGGCACTTAGCTCACTGGAAATAAGCGCCAATCAACAAAACCTGGCCCAGGCTGCACAGCAAGTCAGTTTTCAGAGCCAATCAGATGAAGTGAAACATGATAAGGCCAGCAAAGGTATCGGTTTACTGCGATCTTATTTCTACGACAGTCATTCTAAAAGCGTTCCAGTTATTTAGTTTATATTTTTCCTTTTTAGAACTGTCAGGTGTCTACTATTCCGAATACCCCTGGCATTATGGAAGTTATCCTTATGGGTACCCCCAGTACCCCTACCCATATCAACACCCTCACGTAGCAGCCCCCTCCCCTGTAGTAGTACACCCAGCTTTACATCCAGCCGTACACCCGGCTCACGCTACTATTCATTATCCATACCCCTACAATTACCCATACCCCTACCATTACCCCTACGGATACAACTACTGGAATTACAACTGCGGATACCCCGGCTGTGAGACCCATGTTGAGCCCAAGGAGAACAAACCTGCAGAAGAATCAAAGGAGGAAAATGAAGACAAAGAAGACAAAAAGAGTAACATCGATCAATAACTGAATGAATCAAGCTGTTCTTGCTTTGTGAGAGTTTGTGCTTGAATAAACATGCTGTGAATATTTGACGTGTACTTGCGACTCTTAAGGGAGGTAATAGGAAGATGAACTGTGAATCATTTTAAGGGGGAGAAGCTGTGGACCCTTGCTGCATCACAGGGGGGTTAAAGGGAAGAGAAGGAATTATTTTACGGCTAAGTTTTATCCTCACCATTTTTTACAAAGCGAGACAAAATTAAAACAATCAAAACGACACTGCATTCTGAACTAGAGATAATGATTTTAACGTTTGTTTTGTCCCAACCATCGACTGGTTCTTTAATTGTCTTTAATTTTTTTCCCAGATCTCAACCCTCTTTTCTCGAACATAGTAAAAAATTATAAGTTTTGAATCAGTCAGGAATGGAACCTCCTCCCGCATGAACAGGTGAGAAGACTTGTGATGAAACATCAGTGCCTTTATTCTTCCGACGCTACACGAAAGATAGTCTTGTGTAATCATGTCATGCTCTAACGAGTAGGTGCAAACTACCATTCTTGCCATCAATATTCATTTACAAGCTCAGTTGAAGGAAAGACGATATTGGAAACTGAAATTTATTATTTTTTCAATGTATCAAACAGAAACAATTTTAATACATTTCTAAAGTTTTTGTTCGTCAGGAAGTTAGGGCTAAGAACATGAAATCAAGTATCTAGGCCACTGTTCTGCTATTCTGCCCATAGGGCACGTCTTCGATCGAAAAATCTCTTTAGATTTCAAACGCTCTATTTACAGCAAGCAGGAGCGCAAGCCGGAGCACAGACTGGCATAGGTGGGGGTGGGGGTGGAGGAATGTACACAGGGGGTGGTGGAGTGCAGCATGGCTGGGGACAGATTTTCATACAATGATGGATACAAATGGGGGGACAAGGAGGTGGGGGTGGAGCGGGGAGACCGGGGCACCCGGGTGCTCCGGGAGGTCCCATTGGTCCCATTGGTCCCATACATCCTGGAGAACCGGGGAATCCGCGACATCCGGGAAGTCCGGGTGGTCCCATGCAGCCTGGTTGTCCTGGGGGTCCTGGTTGTGGGCACGGCACTGGAACAGGGACGGGACATGGTGGTGGTGGAGGGGGAGGAGGTGGAGCACAACACGTTGGTTCACAGGCTGGAGCACAGATTGATGGACATCCGTAACCACAGGGGTTGGCTTCCCGTTTCTCTTTATCTTCTGTACAGAAAATGCGAACATACCGTGATTCAAACAGACTAAATGGTCAGAACAATACTATAGTCAACCTCATATTGTTCATGAATAATGAAGGCATAATAGCATTAGTTCACACAGAAATGATTTCTTTACCATGTCAATATAAAAGTATAGTAAAAAAAACGCTTTATAAAAAGGGCAAGATGTAAGCATTGTATGAGCAAATATTTTAATTTTAATGAAGGTGTAAACAGTTACAACGTTTCTTTATTTTTTTTTTTTTTCACTATAAACAAAGCGTTTTTTTCGTTTCTTTCCACGGATTAGATGGGTCTTCTTTTCTCAGAAACATAATGAGAATATTGTTTCGTGAAGTCTAAACTTCGCTTTTGAGACGAAAAGTTTAACTCTATTTCACAAAATAACTCAAGTTGTGGATTTCCTTCAAGTACAGTTACAGATATTGATAACCTTGCAATAAAAACGAAATAACTCTTACCAAGTGATTTTCCACATACTAATGCTACAAGGCAAGATGCGAGTAAAACTCTTAGACTCATATCTGCGAAAAAAATTACAAAAGCTAAGTTAATCATCATACAACTGGGAATGCACAGGTCTTGTAAATAAATGGCACTAAATCATAAAACGCCTTTGAAATCAAACGTCCATGGAATCTCAGAATTAAAAAAATTTGTATAAGTTGTTCAAATCGTTGCAGTAAGAAAAAAAAACAGATATCACATGAGTAAGAACGGGAATAAAATTTTCGTTTTTACAGAACTAAAAACAAAGAGCATGTCATAGTGTAGGAGAATTCGGGATCACGTGAAATATAATGATAAACAATTGGTGAGCGCATCATTGGGATTATCGACGGGATTTTCCCATTGTGGAAGGGAAACGCCCAAGAGAGTCGGCCGTGTTGCTCGAATTTTTTGCGGATATGCCGTCAAAGGTGAAGTATGCAGCTTCGAGTGGGGTCGTTCTATAAAAAGCTAAGCCTATTTTTTTATCATTAGGAGTAAAATGAACAAAATATTTATTTTTGTTTAGAAATTAAAAGTGTTGTGGCATCAACAAATCAAAGTTACATTTCTCGTTTATTAGCACATTTTTCACAACAAATCTATATGAATCTATTGTTGGTGTTCTTTTGGAAAGAATCAAATTTACCCTACTTGAATCAATCAAACAATATAAACACCAGTGAACAGCTTGAAATGAGCAGAATTAATTACAAATTTAGCTCATTATTCGTTCTTCTCGTAAAAATGAAATCAAACCTTTTCCTTCACTGATGAAAGCTCTGAAAGTAAATTGAGTAGTATCAATACACGATACCCCTAGTTGCATAAAGATTCTGATTCATGCAGTCAATGGTGGTAAAGCAAGAAAGGGATGTTCTCTAAGAACATTTGGAAATTCTTACTGAGAACTTGGTTTTAGACGATTGTTTTGAATCGGTGAGCAAGGTTGCTCTTTCGATCTTCAGTCCTAAGTTATTTTCAGTTATTATAAAAAATAAAACACTTTATTAAGGCAAATATTCATTTTTGTCTGTTCCAAATGCCTTCGACCACTATATGCTCCTTTCAATTTTTCTTTCTTTAGTTCTTTAGTTCGAGTTTACTAGTTTGCTATTATCAGTTCTTTTTGAACTTGGCTTTGAGAACTTGTTCATAATTTTCAAGGGAATTCGTTGGATAGAATTCAGTGAGTTTTGTGTCACTTTTCTATATATTATTCTCGCTCAAAATTGCGCATTTCGTACAACCTAACCAAAACCTTTGCTTTCCAAAATCTCCTTTGTTATGAGTAGAAAGAAATTCCTGAAGAGTCGCATTTATTTCCAGGCTTCGGAAACATAAACCAGTAATGTTATGACCTATCTTCAAACCAATTAGCACTGAGACTAAACAAAAACTTAAAAGCTAAAAGCTAAAAGCTTTGTTTATGGATAAAACGGCTAAAATAAACACGTTTAACTGACGCTATTCGACAGGTATTTGTAGATTATTTTAACAGTCCTCTAAAAAACAATTTTTTAAAGTTAAATCTAAGAATTAGAATGTTTCATCTTCCTCACCTGGTACCTTGGATATTCTTTATCCTCTCAAGAAAAATATTGCTTTAGATCTGGGTCTTTCGCAGTCTGCTTTTGTTCCTATTTTTGTCCGTTCATGAATGATGCATTGTTTTCCAAGGAATTACTTAATCCCGCTGCTCGGTAAATTTCACGCATGGATGGTGGCTGTTTGACAGATATTACTCAACTCAGACATCCCACATGTTATGGTATGTGTGGTTTTGAAAATGATTTGCTTAATTTGACAATAGGAAACAAAATATTTGACCTAGCTCGTTGACGAAATGCGAAAGAGCTAATGTCAGTAACTCCTCTTTTGGCGTTTGCTTTGATGGCTGTACGGGTTAATAATTAATTCCTCAGGCCTCCACTCGAGAAACTGCGCTTCACTTGAGCGTTCACTGGAAAAATTATCCAAAATCTGGTTTCAATTTCATATCAGTCAAGATATAGCTCTAGACATTTTATTTTATTTCATAGGCTCACTGAAGAAGCCAATCAAAAAAAGGAATCCGTGGGTTTGAGTTACATGACGTAATCTGTTTGACAAGCCCACCTCCCCTGCGCAGGTCACGTTGGTACGCTGTGTGCCTCCAATAAATATATGATGATATGGGACTCTGCTACTGTCATTTCAGGGGCATAGCAGGACTTGACCTTTTCTCCATAACTATTTTCAAGACTTCAAATACATAAAGAGGTAAGATACCCAAAAAGGTTCCCTTTGTTGGGATGAAGTTGCGAGTCACGCACCAGATGTATATGGTATACTTAACATTTTGTTGTGTTCGTAAATTTGAATAAAGGGGAGTTTTTTCGCTCAGTTAGGTTTTACGGGTGACCTTCTCCAATCTTACGGGAAACAACCTTTCCCCTAACAATGGAGAAGTGTCAGTTTGCATGGGGAAAGTTTTTCTAAACCTGCTAGGATGTGGAAGCTACTAATCTTTAGATGGTCTTGAAATAGTGTCAAGTTGACCACACTTTCAAACAGAATCGGGAGAAAAAAAGAGACAAAACCGAAATAACGTCATGAAGGCATGGACATTAGTTACCATCCTTCTTTGCAGATTACAAACACTTTTGAAGGAGGTGAGCCTTATCTTTTTAGTCAAAATTTTTGAGCTGAATAAATAGAAAATAAAGATAAAAGTAAGGGAAGTTTATTCGGGAATTAGTGATGTGTAACAGGGGTTTTTAGGGATCGTTTGACAATCAATCTTTACATTCCTCCTCAGATCACCACTGGTCATGTTAAGATTTACTCTTGCTTGCTTATTCCTCTTGGCCGCCTCGCTGGAAGCAAGAAAAGGTTGGTTAATCTGTTTATCTTTTTCTGGTAAATGTATACATTTTGTAGTTGTGTTTCAAACAGGAAAGGCTACAATGGAATTATGGTATACATCCTTATTTGATGTTTTCAATAAAGCCAGTATATTTAATTAATATAAATATGACTTGATTTTCCGTGAAGATCGTAGTGATCGTTCGTTTTTTCGCCGTAAAACAGTAAAGCGACATGTCGACATCAAAGATACAAAACAATCTGCTGTCTTGAATAGATCGGAAATAAAGAAGAGCTTGCTTGGTTGGCATATATTTTCTCGTACCTGAATGAGGACAAAATGTTCCAGTTTTTGATAACAGAGTTTCCATTGGTAAACCCTAAACGATCCTCAGAACTGCTTCTACATGCTAAATCTATATATTCGTCGAATATTTTTCAGGAGATCATGTTCCTTTGAATGAAAATTGCTTATCTTAAGTAAAATTATCTCAAATCTGAGGTGATAGAGGATAAAGATACTGATACAGCTTCACTGTAACAATAAAACTGAAATGAACTGGTGTTTTGCTTGTGCTAAATACTGGTATGACAGCCAAGATAAATAAGCTTAGGACTGAAACCAACCTCAAAAACAGATAGCAGAAAGACACTGTATGTGTTGAACAAAAGGAAAATCGTCATGAACTACTTTTAAACTTTCATTTCAATATTTTAAACTATATACATAGTAACGTTTTCACATATATTTTGACGACTTTTTTAAAAGTAAGTGTCAATAAAAACAAAAGGATAAATAAAGGCGGGAAAATGAGATATTTGTCTTTGCTAGTATAACCAAAATTCTAATCGTGGATTTAGGATTCCCTTATTTTTTACCTCTTGGATTATAATAGGCAAATACAGAGTATTTTAAAGCAACAGGGTCGAGTCGATGAGGATTGTCAAAGTTTATTACTGCGTTGTAAGGGATCTCTTAGTAAATTAACCTAAATGCTCTAATGAATGAAGGTCAAAAGTAATAGCCATAAGGAAACTCACGTAGATCTACTCAGGGCATCAAGCAAAGAATTATTGAAACAGACTCTCAAGGGAAGGAAATTCCATCAACAAAAGGTCATTTTTTTTCCTATTTAAGTGCCAAGAAAAGTCCATTTGCTAATTACCAGGTAGATTTCACAAATGTTAACGAACTTACAACTAAGGACTCTCACGCCGCTTGCTCGCCACGGTCCTCAGCGATCCTAAGTAACCTGGCCTAAGCTGTTCCAAGCGAGTGAGATCGCTGCCGTTGAAATCTACCCAGACTGACTTTGATAATGACAAAGCATGCAACGTTTCTCCACGAGTATTCATTTGAACCAGTTTGAGGAGGCTTCCACCTTATTTAGTAAGCAAAATTAGTAATTCCTATTTGCGTACTTAATTATGTTGTTAACCTTAATTTCATAGTTACAGAAGCTTACTTACATCATGGAAAGATTGTCAAAATAACAAAAGAAGTGGAAGATGAGCCAGGTAAGCATAACGAGTATATCAAAAGACTTTTCGGTGACTTATCTGACTCTCTATAGCCATCGAAATATCGCCATAGGCACTTGTTTCTGCACCATGACAAGCAAAGACGCACTTACACTTGTGAGACGAAGGAAGGAAAGAAACCTCTAGTGTTTCAATGCACATGTGTTCGTGAGGTTGTGAAACTTTCTACATTTTGGGATTCAAAAGACCAGCAGACAATCGAAGGCTGTCTTTAAATGCTCAGGGACGCCGCCATTTTGAAATTACTTAGCAAAGTGGTTGCTCAACAATGAAGTAACAAAGTCTCATTTACCTCCTTTTTACATCTCTTCACGCTCTGAATGAACTGCGCGTTGTGGCTTTGTATGAACAGCAAAGCTTTTGATTTGGTCTAGTTTAAAATAAAAATTTTGGCATTTTTTACAATTAATAAACCGCCGTAAGAATTAAATTCTTAGATCCATATTTAAATGTAAGTGGAAGTTAAAATGGTATGGTTTCTGGAGCATACTTCTTAACGAGTGGAAGCTGTTTTCTTTTAATTTCCAATTATTAACAGAAACCTTAGAGAAGCGTGATGCTAATCCTTGTGGTTATGGATGTCCGGCCTTGTGTGCTCCTACGTGCAACCCATCCTGTTGTGCTCCCCCTCCGCCGCCACCACCACCGCCGCCTCCACCTCCACCCCCCTGCCCAGTACCTTGCCCCATGCCAGGGCCCCCTGGACAACCCGGATGCATGGGGCCACCCGGAATTCCCGGATGTCGAGGATTTCCTGGTCTTCCCGGATGCATGGGACCTATGGGACCAATGGGACCTCCTGGTTCACCTGGATGCCCCGGTTTGCCCGCTCCACCACCGCCACAATGTCCACCCATCTGCATCCATTATTGCATGAGAATCTGTCCACAGCAGTGCTGCACAGCTCCACCTCCACCAATTATGCTACCCCCACAACCAATGCCAATCTGTGCACCTTCATGGGCACCAGCATGTTGTAGGGGCAAAGTAAAAAAATCTTAAAATTGGCAGGTCAGAAGGACGAAGAATAGCGATACTGGGACACTTTCAAGTGCAGTTTATAAACCAAATAAATAAAAACATTTTCACCTTGGTCCTAGGGATAGTGGGCACTGAGCAGATGCTCAGGAAAGAGACAGCACGAACACACTTTTATACATGACAGCTAGTTTAACAAAACGCCGTAGAAAAATAAAGATATATTTTAGTTACGTGTCATTTCAATTGTTCTTGACGAGCTGGTCCATCCAGAAATTTTCAGAATTTTAACCAGCAGCATCGAGGAGGGCGCCCCTAAAGATGACGGACAACTTAATGACATTGGAATATTGTGACAACTGTCGATAAACATTGGAAATTCGTCGGCGTTTGCTTTCATGATAATTTGGGAATTCACTATTTCAAATGAAACAAATTTCGAATCAATTTCAGGATCGGAGCAACTACGCACCTACCCCTCTCATAAACCAACAACAGTCAACTGATAGCAACTCGGGGTCAATGTTGGGGTTAGGGGAGGGTGGGTGCATGGTTGGTCAGATACTGACTTGATCCCAAATTTCATCACAGATGTGAACGAGTGTGACGAGATTTTCGTCATAAAATTACATTACAATAATTACAATAAATTACATTATAATAACAATATACAAAAGGAAACAAAGAAACTTCTAATTGTCAAAATTACGTTGCATTCAATTCTCTACGCAAATTGCTATTCACAACTAAATGACGAAATTGCAAAAATACTTATTGCTATAAGATTTACTATTATACCCAACGTCACATCCTAAACTATTCCCAACTTATTTTTTTAACCAAGCGTGGTATTCTTCCTTACTCTCTTTATTACAAATAATGGAAAACTTGCAACTCTCAGCAAAGGAAAACTGGTGACACAATGGATTCTATTTCTTAGAAATTTTTTATACATCTCTGCACTCTTTCATTTGACGTTACAAAAATAGCTATATATCTTACTTGTTTACTAAGAGAGGTGCTTGTTCACACAGTAATATAATAAATTGTGGGTTATTTATTACAATTGTACAGTTACAGCTAAAAGAAATATGTTTCTAAGTACAGAAACATCTACAATTATTGCGAAGCTTAAAGTTGAAGTTCTGAACTCGTTCGAACTTAAAATAACTATTCTTATGTCGGTTGTTCCCACCAAAATTAACTTGAAAAATATCTTCTTATGCGCGAGTTCTTCTAATTCAAAGGTTTTTACCCCTGATCATAGTTAATCCCCTTGAACACAACAATGTTAAGACAATTCATTTTACAACTCCCAATCCCTGCCATAGAAGTTAGTGTTGGTCGAGCGTTAAGAACCAGTTGAAAGGTCGTTCCAAGAACCCTGCAAATGTAGACGAACCACAGTTTTAATGATATAAAGAAATAAACGCCCTCGCCCTACGCACCGACCCCTTCCCTTTACCATGAGAAGACGAGTCACTAAATGTACGAGATGAAAACGTATACGGTATGACGCAACAGTGCACTTTGAGTCTCAGGTTTACTTTTCACTTCCTCAAGGGAAATATCGAGTTGATAACTCGACCATTTAGGAAATAAAGGGGGTACGTTTCTAAAGAAACTGTCGTGCTGCGTCGGTGGGAGTATCAAGAAAATTTTGGTTTTATTACCCGAGTTGACAATGTAAATGTGCCACCGTCAAAAGATTCAAACGTGACGTTAGCCCTTCGTCGCCCCTTCACGTTCTGACGAAGGGCTAGCGCTCGAAACGTCAGCTTTGGAACTCTTTACAGTGGCCAACTTACATTATCAACTTATTTTTTTTAATGAAAGTTAATTGTCGTTATTTTTAATATTACAATGGGTTAGACATGAAAATAATTTGTTAAGGACAGTCATGATCGTGATCTCATTTAAAGTCTTATTAACGTTACTTACTTGACACGTTACTGTTAGCTATCAGTCGAACCGCTGAGATCTTCAAAAGACTTCTGATTTAGTAGAGTAAGAGGATAAAATAGGTTTAAATGAAATTCTGGGAAATTCATCGCTTGGGTTTTTTCAAACGACAATGATACCAGCAGCTGAAATTTCTTTTATATAGATCGCTTTACTCATTATTTTAAAAGGTTTTCCAAGAAATTATAAATTGTAAATTTTCCTCGAGAATCAAATAATGCAAATATTTACAAAGACAAGCTCTCTTTATGGTCAAAATTTTGAAACACGGTCAACTTTATTGTCCTATTTTAAGCAAGAATTTCAAGATTTACCTATTACATTTTTTATTACTATCTTTTCCCTAAAAATAATGTTTTTTTTTCTCAAAACCAAACCTTTACTTTTCTCACGGAAAAAGTGATATAGTAGGGTATGTTCCACAGAGAGTCTGGTGTCAAAATCTATTTGTGCATATACTTTTAGGTCAACTTTTATCCCCATACTTACTACATTTCCAAGAAAGTCATCAAAGACGAGAATATCACTAGAAGGTTTCAAGTTTTGGCGAGTGCTCCTGGCCTGTGCAGCCTTGGATTGCTGTTGACCCACTCTCGAAAGCTGTTCCATGGCGAGATTAGCCGCCCCCAGTCCACTAGCCACCTCACGGAAAGACGCAGATGGAGGAGTTGCCCTTAATCGTCTGGGCGGAATGGTGAAATCTTCGTCGATTGTTTCAATATACAACGCTCTAGATTTGCGAGTGGGGCGATATTTACTAGGTGTTAAGGGAGAATCCTCAGGCACATCCTCATCACGTCGCCTTTAGAAAATAAATAGGTAATCAGATTGTACATGTGTCTAACAATAATCATTCTTACATCAACTAGAACCGCAAACTGACACCTTTTTTCACGTGGGGATGCGCTACCTTGTTACTGTGACAACAAATAAACTAGACTGGTTCCACAAGATCTAAAAAAACTCTTTGAAATAAACACAATGTCTCACCTTCTGCAGTAGCAAATGATGGCGAGCAGTAAAACGAACGACAATGTCCCACAAACCGAGGCAAAGATTGCCACTAATAACCACATATTGACTGAAATAAAGAGACACTTGGAGTCAACTTTTAACACTCGTTAAGCCAAAAACAAAAATGTTTTACATTAGATCTCATCACTTTTGGTAATAACAGTAACTACGCAGCATTTAAGTTATATTCTGTCTGTGGAACAAAAGATTTTACCTGGGTCAGCGGGAGGAGAACTGGTAAATTCTTCCCTTAATTCACATCTATTACCATAGAAACCTCGCGGACATCTTAAATTAAAAGAAATAGATTTACAAGCTGGGAAAATATACTCTGCTTAAATCCTGTCACCTTCACTTTGAAAGTATTACGAGTTGTTCTAAAAGCAAATTAAGTGGAATGACTACTGAGTTTGATATTTCGTTTCAATGGTTAAAAGGACGAATTGGATTTTCTAGACTAATCATAGACTTAGCTAGGGCAAACTCAAAGCTATTCTTGATTATTTTACAAACAATGTTAAAGTTTGTTAAAAACCAGAATCAAAGGAATTTATGGTTACATTCTACATGGATTAGAAATGGAACCAGGTCTTGCATTCTATCTCAAAGTTACAAGCATTGCGGTCTTATTTCAAAATTATAGGTTCTCAGACTTGATTTGAATTGAGACATGCAAATTCATCCAAAAAGTCATATCTTGGTGACTGCAGTTTTGCTACAAGTCTTGTTCTGCACAAAAGATGCTATCTTACCTGCAAATGTTTCCCACTGTCGAAATAATGCACGTTCCTCCATTTTCACAGTGGTGAAAAGGACATCCCGCTGCAAAGAAATGCAAAAAAGTAATCCTCAATATGATGTTAGTGAGGCTAGGTTCCAAGAATGCGTGATGTGGAAGAGCTTCGTTAACTCAAACTCAGTTCCAGAAAATTTTTACTCGAGAAAAGTATCTTCAGTCATCATCTTTCAAACTTCGCGTGTTTCCAAACTGTTTTGAGGTGTTTGGAAAGCTAGAGTTTCCGGATTTCCACTTTATTTAAAATGTAGCAAGGTCCTCCCTGGAAAAAAGACCACTATCACGGTAATTCACAAGACCATGATTTAAAAAGTATTTACCAAAGCAATGTGTTCCATTTCCATAGTAGTTATTATTTTCGTTACAGATGCACCTAAATGCATAGCCTGGAGACGAGTAGCACGTTGCATTCGGATGACAGTTGTGGGTTCTCGACGTACAGGGATTGGTAACTACGATGACAACAAATATAATCATTGAGAGCGTAATGGTTAAAATTTGAAAAAAATCACTCCTCACAGCTGGCTGGGCATGTCCTCAATACTCAAATTGAACCCGAGAGAAGTTAGAAGACAGAAGTATTCTCAGTTGAAAACATTAATAATCAGTTACCAATATATGGTTTCTTGAAGGTAGAAAAAGGAATTTAAACTGTAATCGAGTACAATGAAACTCAACCTTTTCCCTACGCTAACCACTCAAACTAGGTCTTGCGGAAAACACATGGCTTGCGTAATTTTCGTGTCTGTGTCCGCTAACCACAGATAATTAAAACGTTACTGAATGACATTGGCCCGATTGGAACTTGCGCTCCTCTCTACTAAAATACGGGGTTCGCTTAGTAAAGGTTTAAGATGAACAACTAAATACAAAAGAAAATTTTTGTTCCTTGTCAACGACATACCGTTACACATGACACCGTCGCCGGAGTATCCCTCTTTGCATATGCACTGGTATGATCCAAGTGTGTTCAGACACGTGACTCCAGGACCAGTGAAGTTGCAGTGATGTAGCGATGCATTTTTGCATTCATCAATATCTGAGTAAGAATACATATGAAAATTTAAATACATGTCTAACGCTCTATCTGGCTGTCTGTCTATCTGTTTGCCTGTCTGTCGCTTTGTCTGTTTCTCTGTCGGTCTATATGCCTGTCTGTCTGCCTGTCCGTCTGTCTGTAAGTCTATCTGTTTGTATATCTATATACCCGTCTTTCGGTTTTTCTGTTTGTGTTCCTGTCTGTTTGTCCTCCTACCTTGACACTTTCTGCCATTTCCAGTATAACCCGCTTTACAGAAGCACTCAAATGATCCCACTGTATTTTTGCAGATGCCATTTTGGTCACAATCATATGTTTTCTCATCTTGACATTCGTCATAATCTAAATTGAGAAAAAAAAGCCAACTCATTGGGGAGGGATTCACATTCACAGGCAGTTACTGAAGTATGGTTACACAATTGATAGAAACAGGTACCCTGCACAACAGATGTCAATCATCATTACACAAACTGATGT